GATCCCTAGGTTAAACTATGGTGAAGCCCTGGACGAAAACTAGTGGTTTTCATCAACACGTGATGACATATCATCATTGCAATCTTGTCGCTAATACTTTCATGAGTTTCACTCATTCTTTCTATATAGTAGCTAGGGGTGAGAAACACCCAAATAATTTGTCGCAATCCAATAAAACAAGGGGTAGTAAAAAACAATAAACAAACAATAAAACAAAGTATGTGAATATATTTTATTGCATGACATGTATTAACGATAAGATGCTGGGTGGTTGGAGTGGGAACTAAGAGGGAGAGAGAAGAAGAAAATAATGAAAAGCAGAGTCGCCATCGTACTCGGTTCCTAGTGATATCGAAACGTGAATCCAACTAGCTATGTTCCTCGTCGTTCTGAACACCATTCAGAGAGTCTACTGGCTCCAAACTAGACCAACTTCGAAGGGTAGGCCTTCCTTCGTCTTTAATACTTCATCAGTTGTTCTCCAGATGATTCAGTAAATGAGATCAACGACTGTTCAAATCGATGTTTACACTTTTGCACAAGGAAGTCCTCCACATGACGCAAAAGTTAATGGCTAGAGAAAGTAATTTTTGGCTCATCCAAATCAGTCGCCGTTGATATGCGTAATCAAAAGAATAAGCTAGCTAACATTGAAAGAGATGACTGACTTTCTGGTTTCCTTCAGAATTGTACCAGTAATGCTGAACTGTACTCGGCGCTAATCGTAATCATAAATTTTCCTAATGTACTATTTAAGAATGTGACGATTGAGTCAGACCGAGTAACGTGTGCAAACACAAAGCTGATCCTTAACTGCAACGGCCTATATACTTGCGAGATTTTAAACATTTTGAAAGCAGTTAATGTGGGTGAAGGCCAGCTCGAGATTGAGGTCTTTAGGTGCTTAAAGCAGAACGTCATTTAGTTTCACCTAACTGAACCTAAATATGTCTTCCTGCTAGATTGGTCAAGGATGTTACTGGAAGAACGAGAATCCCGTTTAGTCCATCCGCGCCTAGGGTATGTTAACCAGTTCACCAGCAACCTCCTACAGCTGGCCACCGGATACTCATTACGTTCAACACACGGCCTCTTATATAACTTTGGTCTCCATTACAAAACAGTGAATTGCTCGAGCCGTTGGCTTTTGTTGAAGGAAATCCGCCGCATTACGAGTCTGTATGATAGTCCGTGATCAATCATCACACGCAAGATAAATATCCGGTGTCTAACTGCCAAGCAGAATCCAAAGACACCGGCGCCCAATTCCATTGCGTTGATTGCGGCGCAACGGGAAAAATTTTGTAACAACTGCAGTTGGCGCTTATGCAAATACAGTTTTATTCTATAGATGTTATATAGAACTGATTTATTTATCTCGGTGGCAACCTAGCTGAGGAGAAAATAAATGGTGATGGAGCCAAAAGTTTTCAACAATGTTAATGCTATTTCGAATCAATGATAGCGGAAGACCAAGGTCCTTGAGAAGTACCAGGAATACAAGCTGTGGACGTGTTGCGTGGATTATTTTTAGGTAAGGATACTTGGTCGGCTGGGCATGTCAATCGGTTCATGGATCTACTATGTGTATTGGCGTCGTTATCTACACCTCGTGTTCGATGCAAGGGACACCGTGTGAATCGCAAGCAATTCCGTGTTAGGAGTACAAATCACTACAGATTCAGTGGACTCAAGCGTAGTAACCCTGCTAGATCTTCTTGGAAGAAGTAAGCAAAATACTTTAGAATAGCTTATCCAATCCCTTACAACCTCGTGGTTCACCAGCAAAGTTACACAAATTTCTCCTGTCACTAGCATGTCAGGCTACGCAGGAGGATTCTAGACAGGCTATGAGATTACGTCATTCTGAAATACTGGGCAATACCTGCACAGACAAAGACAAAACTGTCTACCATATATGTATATATACATATATATATATATATATCGCGAGTGGCACACTGTAATAGCAGCTTGTCACCGTTCGCATTCGCTGAACCGATGCCATGCGGACCGATAACATCTGTCCACACCAATGCACCACGCCTAACGCGAGCGTTGAAATCACTCAACAGAATTAGTCGGGCGCTCCTCGGCACAGACAGTATCACGGAGTAGAACTGAGTGTAGAACTGATCACACGTATCATCAGGATAACACACTGTCGGACCGTAGATGTATATAAAAGTGACAATCTTACCTCTTCCGAACCGTAGACGAACAATCATCAGTCGCAAACTGAAGCCAGGTAGTTCACCTAACAGCTGGCTATTAGGGCGATCGGATGTACGTGAAATATGCCCATAGAGATAGCAACAGGTTGCTCAGCGAATAAATTTATTTTCGATATTCCTCATCAGGCTAATCCATGGATAAAAACCGGTTAAAATCGTTATAGGCTAGGGTTGGTCAAATTCAAATAGGCTAGTTGCATCGGCTGATGCCAACAGGATTCTGCAAGCAGAAGACGCTAGTTTAAAAGCTTCATTTAAAATGGTCATAAGTTTACTGTGATTCTCCTCGAACTCCGAAAGTGACCTATTCACCTCATCAGACAACTGAATCAAGATGTGTTGTATTGTGAACTTGAATTGTAATACATATGTTTACAGGTGTGTGCCTAACTCATAATCGATTGCAAAGGATCGAAAGCTAAAGTAGCGCGTTTGGAATTGACCAAACATTGACCTGCCATTTTACCCTAACAAAATTCCAAACAGTAACATAAATGCAAAAGCCTCATAAGGTATTGCAAATCTGACACATCTTCATGTGGTGCTGAGGCAGCATTTCCCACCTATTATATATATATATATGTATATATATATATATACATATATATATATATACATGGTTGGCGGCATCCGGTTTCGGATTTGCCTGTCACTGTGGCCAGCCAAAGAACGCCTGCGCCCACAGAGGGACCATGGATGGCTTGCGCTGCACCACCCACAGCTCCAACCACACACACCATATCCAGTGTATACCCGGAGGAATAAGACCGGGAGGCATGCGGATGGGAGCCACGTTTCATCAACGGAGCCGGCCCACACTCCTTCACAGGCAAACACAAGCACACTGTATTTGGGAATCAAGCGCACAGAAGGCGGTGGCTGGATGGACCGTAGTCCGATCCACACTGAGTGCATGGAACCACTCTTCGAGCCTAACACGGCCACAAGGACCGTGCACCCCGTCCCTTCCAGCAACGACCAACTGTCTCCTGGAACCAGTATGGACGAGGTAGTGGGTAATAGACAGGTAGGCACCTTGTCAACATGCACATCAAGCGCAACCACACCGGGAATATCAAAAAACAGCCAATCAGTTGAGAAAGAAAGAAAAAGAGAAAAACTCGATTAATGCATAAGTAAATGCTGAGATAAACCTTAATTAAATAGCATACGTAATAAGTTGTTTACCTACAAATCTTATCTAAGTGCACGAGGTCAGGAAGTATAGTTCACTGAATGCCACGAACACAAAAATGTTATGGAAATCGAATACAATTGGCTGAAGCGATGTGTGCAAGTTAATGGAATAGAGTATAGGGAGATATTTATATGAGAAAGAAAAGCATTAAGGTAAAGACTGTAAAACCACCACCTGAAATGAAGAGACTTAGCATGCAAGCACGCGGTTAGTAAATCGAATTCAGCGAGACTACAAACGCTGCGCCGGCTCGAAGTAATTCTCTGCAGGACCCGTCGTCGCTTTGTAGTGGCCCGAAATGGCACAGGGCATGGCCCACTAGACATTTATATGAGAAAGAAAGGCATTAGGAGAGAACGGAAAACCCATCACCTGAAATAAAGAGACTCAGCATGCAACCATGCGGTTAGTAAATCGAATTCAGCGTGCCATGGTTGGCGCCATCCGGTTTCGGATTTGCCTGTCACTGTGGCCAGCCACAGAACGAATGTGCCTACAGAAGGACCATGGATGGCTTGCGCTGCACCACCAACAGCTCCAACCACACACCACATTTCCAGTGTAATCCCGCAGAAATAAGTCCGGGAGGCATGTGGATGGGAGCCAGGTTTCATCAACGGAGCCGGCCCACACTCCTTCACAGACAAACACAATCACGCTGTATTTGGGAATCAAGCGCACAGAAGGCGGTGGCTGGATGGACCGTAGTCCGATCCACACTGAGTGCATGGAATCGCTCTTCGAGCCTAGCACGGCCACAACGACCGTGCACCCCGTCCCTTCTAGCAACGACCAACTGTCTCCTGGAACCAGTATGGACGAGGTAGTGGGTAACAGACAAGTAGGCACCTTGTCAACATGCACAGCAAGCGCAGCCACACCGGGAATATCAAACAACAGCCAATCACTTGAGAAAGAAAGAAAAAGAGAAAAACTCGATTAATGCATAAGGAAACGGTGACGTAAACCTTAATTAAATAGCATACGTAACAAGTTGTTTACCTACAAATCTTATCTAAGTGCACGAGGTCAGGAAGTATAGTTCACTGAATGCCACGAACACAAAAATGTTATGGAAATCGCATACAATTGGCTGAAGTGGTGTGTGCAAGTTAATGGAATAGAGTACAGGGAGATATTTATTTGAGAAAGAAAGGCATATATACATATAAATATATATATATGTATATATATATATATATCGTTGGGGGCATCCGGTTTCGGATTTGCCTGTCACTGTGGCCAGCCACAGGTCGCCTGCGCCTACAGAAGGACCATGGATGGCTTGCGCTTCACCACCAACAGCTCCAACCACACACCACATTTCCAATGTAAACCCGCAGAAATAAGACCGGGAGGCAGGTGGATGGGAGCCACGTTTCATCAACGGAGCCGGCCCACACTCCTTCACAGGCAAACACAAGCACGCTGTATTTGGGAATCAAGCGAACCCAAGGCGGTTGCTGGACCGTAGTCCGCTCCACACTGAGTGCGTGGAATCGCTCTTCGAGCCTAGCACGGCCGCAACGACCGTGCACCCCGTCCCTTCCAGCAACGACCAACTGTCTCCTGGAGCCAGTATGGACGAGGTAGTGGGTAATAGACAGGTACGCACCTTGTCAACATGCACATCAAGCGCAGCCACACCGGGGATACCAAGAAACAGCCAATCACTTGAGAGAAAGATAACAAAGAAAACAAATCGGTTACAAATCTTGAATTTATGAGCATATGAAATAAGTTGTTTACAAAAGAATCCGAGATAAGTTCATGAGGTCAGAAAGGATATTTTACGGAAATGCCACAAACACGAAATTTACTACAACTGGATTAAACGACGTGTGTAAGTTTACAGAAAAGAGTACAGGTAGACATTTATAAGAGAGAAAGAAAAGCATTATGAAAAAATTGAAAACACACCACCTGAAATAAAGAGACTTAGCATGCAAGGATGCGGTTAGTAAATCGAATTCATCGTGCCTACAAACGCTGCGCCGGTTCTTCCTACGTTCTCTTCAGGACCCGTCATCGCTACGGAAGTGGGTCCGTGTGGCCTCGATAAAGTCTCACTAGGCCTGCCTGACTAAGGCACTCGCGACCGCATGTGCTACAGCACCATGCGCTCGATGTCAATGGAGTACGATTCATCGGTGCCTGCCGCTTCCGCAACTGCCGCTTCTTCTCTGAATGCATGAGGGCTTTCTCCCGCACTTCAGCAACTGCCTTCGTGATCAGATCGCGACATGCACGCTGCTCAACCTTCTTCGATTCCCATGACCTGCAATTAAGGTTAGAACGTGAGAGGCTCAATTTGATGATCTCCTGGTAACGTGACTTTCGTTTTTCCACATGCCACTTCCCAATACTCAGCTGACCATATAAGAGCTGTTTCGGTATCCGCTTCGAATGCATACGGCGCATATGACCGAGCCACCTTAGGTGTCGCAGCAAATGTATGTAGTCCACTGCATACATTCCACTTTGTCGTAACACTTCGGTGTCAGCAACTCTGTCGCCAAACCGATCCGCAAAATCCGTCGCAAACACTGTTGATGGAACCGCTCGAGATATCGCACATCCCGACGGTACATCGTCCACGTTTCACTGCCGTATAGAAGAACGGACAGTACCATGGATTTGTAAACCATCAGCTTCGTGCCAATGCTAAGCTGAAGGTAGTTCCACACCCGGTATGCAAGCCTCCCGAATGCCGCCGCTGCACTCGACACGCGGATACGCAGCTCACTGTGTATCTGATGACCATTCGACATTACACTAACAAGGTAGCAGAAGCGAGAGGTGGTTTCCAATACTTCAGCACCAGTGCTGATTGGCGGCAATATAGAAGATTGCACCTCCGGTGAAGGCTGAAAGAGACAGACAGTTTTGCTTGTGTTGTTGGTGAGCCCGAATTTGGCCGCTGTCGAAGCCAGAGCACTAGTCATGTGCTGCAACTCATCCGCGCTGTGTGAAAACAACGCACAGTCGTCAGCAAACAGCAACATACGGATAGTTGTCTCACAGACTAGAGTTCCCACAACGAAACGACGGATGTTCAGCAACCCACCAGCAATATGGTGCTCCACACGAACACCGTAAGCACAAGCCGCATCAAAAGCACAAGACAACATTGCATGAAGATAGATATTAAACAGGGCGGAAGCTAAGACACAGCCTTGCTTCACATCAGAGACAACTGCAAAGTCATCTGAGGTCTGTCCACTCAGCTACACCCTCGATCGCATACCACTGTGCAAACATTCATTTATACTTACAAACTTACGCGGGCAACCAAACTTACCCAATACAAGTCATATTGCCTTGCGGTTTACCGAATCAAATGCTTTGGTGAAAGCAACAAAAAGCGATTACAACGGCTGGTGTCGTTCTCTGCACTTCTCCTGTAACCGATATGCCGCAAACACCATATCTATAGTGCTGCGACCCGAACGGAATCCACGTTGCTCTTCCGCCTCGTTAGATACTACAACCTGACTGCCGAGGAGGTTGAGTAGAATTCGGGCAACCACCTTGCCCACACAGCGCAGCAAGTTGATGCCAAGGTACTTTGTGTAACATTACTTGCTAACTTTGTCCTTGTACACTGATAGCACGTAGGCACGCTATAGCTCAGGAGTCACGTCCTCCTCAATCCATACACGTTGAACCAAGTGGTGCAGCGCAGTCAACAACGCGGGAGCGCCATGTTTCTATACTTCAGGCGCGATCCCGTTGGACCCAGCACACTTGCCGTTTCGCAGCTGAGCAAGTGCTCTCTGAGTCTAATCAAGTGTCGGCATGTCTGCCAGAATCCTCTTCACATCGTGCTGCTCGAGGTCGCTAATTGTATGCCAGTCGATATCCGATAGGTTACTTAAAATATAGTCAAAATGTTTCCGCCAGATCTGCGCTATGTTTGCAGTTTGTATGCAGGTAGTGCCTGAACTCCCATCGACCAGCGTACTCAGCGGCCCCAATTTTACATATGGTTGGCAGCATCCGGTTTCGGATTTGCCTGTCACTGTGGCCAGCCAAAGAACGCCTGCGCCTACAGAAGGTCCATGGTTGGCTTGCGCTGCACCACCCACAGGTCTAACCACACACCACATTTCCAGTGTAAAACCGAAGGAATAAGACCGGGAGGCATGCGGATGGGAACCAGGTTTCATCAACGGAGCCGGCCCACACTCCTTCACAGACAAACACAAGCACACTGTATTTGGGAATCAAGCGCACAGAAGGCGGTGGCTGGATGGACCGTAGTCCGATCCACACTGAGTGCATGGAATCGCTCTTCGAGCCTAGCACGGCCACAACGACCGTGCACCCCGTCCCTTCCAGCAACGACCAACTGTCTCCTGGAACCAGTATGGACGAGGTAGTGGGTAATAGACAGGTAGGCACCTTGTCAACATGCACAGCAAGCGCAGCCACACCGGGAATATCAAACAACAGCCAATCACTTGAGAAAGAAAGAAAAAGAGAAAAACTCGATTAATGCATAAGGAAACGGTGACATAAACCTTAATTAAATAGCATACGTAATAAGTTGATTACAAACAAATCATAGCTAAGTGCACGAGGTCAGGAAGTATAGTTCACTGAATGCCACGAACACAAAAATGTTATGGAAATCGAATACAATTGGCTTAGGCAATGTGTGCAAGTTAATGAAATAGAGTACAGAGTGAGAGATTATGGGTGATTTATATAATGATGAGCAGATGAAAAGTTAATATAGTGAGGGGTAAAGGAGCGGCTGTAAAACCCCGCGAGAAAGGGTGTAAAGACAGAGGATCATGCAATGCAGCGCGATTAGATTCAGAATCGAAATATCAGGCGTGTGCCTACAACGGCATGCGTGCGTCACTCGGGGCCGTGAGAGATAGCCACGGCGAGTGAAGGACCAGTGCGTAGGGGGCGGGGTCGGAGTCTGTATGATGGACCGGGCAAGATGTGCAACACTAGGGTCGACATGGTGTGCGCGCAGCTGTGTGTGACCAAGTGGTAGGTAGGGTGGAGGAAAGAGAAAGGGGGGAGCGTTTTGGGTCTTGGTGTGTCTGGTTGTGGGGGGTGGATATGGAGATTAGTTACTTAGTGGCGGAGCGGGGATCATTGTTTGGCTGTAAGCTTCTTGGGGAGGGACGCATACCCTGAGAAATAAAGGGAACGTTAAGGGAGATGGCGTGGCTATGTGTCGGTTGAGAAGGAAATAGTGAAGGGTGGGGGTGCGGTGAAGTGATACAGTAGAGCGATGCTCGGACATGGGGGGAAATTATCAGCGTACAGTACGGGCGTTCACAAAACGGTGTCGTGGTTGGGTCGTTTCTCGGGTGTTGGGGTACTAGGAGGAGATGTCTAAGTTTTCTCACACGTCATCTAGCTGCGTATAGTGATGGGAAGGAGATATTGAACCGTGAGTACATGATGGAGGGGTGCGTATCACGCTTAGGTATCGGCGAGCGGAGACTTCATACGGCGTGCGCCGCGGCGCCGGTATGCTTCCTACGTCTCCATAACTTACTGTTCACTGCGAGGAAGGCGTGTTCTTCATCTCAGCGGTTTCAGCTTCGGCAGTAGTCTACCCGGATGACCTCTCTCAACCTCTCGCTGGACTCATCTCGCTACGGTCATGCCTACGACACCAGAACAAAGGCACGCTCGATGCTCGATGGGCAGCGATAAACAGACCTACAACAGCATGTGCTTGTACAGCATCCATGCGCTCTGACTGGTCAGATCGCGGAGCAAATAAGACATGACCAACGGGACAGACTTTCTCTGTCAACGCTATGCCCAATCGCTTGAGTAGCTCGACGACTTCTCTCTACTCGGCAGCACTGCATCAGCAGAACGGCGGAGAGCCTTCGATGACTTTCCTAACCTCCGGCAGCACCTGCACGTCCGATCAGACCAGCCTCTACGAGCTTCTTCGCTAGATCTCTAGCAATCTCGCACACGATTGAGGACACGTCGGTGAGGCTCACGGAGGAGTGCGACGAGCATGTCCTGGGAACGTCCGTTGCGAATTTCCCCACGTGCGCCGCTTTCCGCGAATACATTCTAGCTGCGGGACCGCACAAATAAGCGTCTCTCTTTCGGCGGATCTATCCGCAAGATCCAGAATCCACATACAGCGCTCTTGAAGGCGATGCATCCGAACGCTTCATACTCAGTCGATTGTGCCTGGTAACCAGTAACTTAACTATTAGAGCGGTGCTTCGTCTCACTCAAATCATCCCCCACACCACGAGGCTCCGTCTCGCCTCCGCAATCACTCTTCCGTGTACGCTGACGACACTGAATAATCAAGACGTTTGCCTTTTTCGGTATCCAACTCCGCACGAGCCAGCAATAATACCCTCCAGGGGGGGGGGGGGGGGGGGGGGGGGGGGGGGGGGGGGGGGGGGGGGGGGGGGGGGGGGGGGGGGGGGGGGGGGGGGTGGGGGGGGGGGGGGGGGGGGGGGGGGCGACGACACACATGACACTGTATGACCATCTGGCATGACTGCTGCGCAGTATACGAGATAAGTCATGCCGATCCAACATAAATACATCCCACCCTCGCCGCAGAGCATACTTCACGTTCGGCTACTCCGTCATGACCCCTTTTCGCGGACTAGTGGGGGGGGGGGCGGGAGGTGCGGGGGACGTGTGGAGAAGAAGAGTAGGGGGACATCCAGGGTTTGTACACAATAAATATACACAGTCTCCAAGGCGTCTGCAAATCACCGCGATAAGCCGCTCTGAAATAGTCTGTCGTGCCAGCAAACATCTCGTGTATAGATCTCGGAATAAGACCTTCGCCGTCACAGATTATCCCGCATAGCACTACGCGCGCGCCTTTCGCGCACCGTGCAGATATTACGATCAATTTTTCAACTGTACCTGTATAGCAAAATGCGAGTCAACAGTCGATGGCATTCATTGACACTAAACCCAAGCTAGTCACAACTAGACGTGCCGAAGTGCTGAAGTTTCCCACGGATTCGTTCTCCTCACAGCACCAGTGCTGATCTGGTACTGCAATATAGCATATGTCTCTCGCCATATCCTCCGCGTGAGTGCCTGAACACATACGAGACAGACAGCAGACATTATACGCCATCTGCAATGCGATCTGTTTGCGGTAGTTCAGCTGCTGATCAGTCGCACAGTAACCTTTACGAGCTGTCGCCCGTAACGGTTAGACAAAAGGCGGCAGAGTCACGTAGTCATTGGATGATCTAGCCCAACTCACTTCATGCACCCGCAGCTGCTGTAGTAAAATCGACGGCAACTACAGACCGAGACAGTGCCAAACACGCTCACGGGCAGCAGTAACGGATCGTAGACTAGTCGATGCGACGTGCACCAGATTATTGCGCTTGTATCTTGCTGGTGAGCACGAAACCGCCACGTGCGATGAGTGTAGCGCGCGCCTGTCGCGAACGCAGACCAGCACTAGTCATGGTGTGCTGCAACCCACACTGACACCTGTAAGCGCAAGCTGTTGTGAACAGCAACGATCAAAACCCCCAAAACGTCTCAACATGTGCGACACAGAGCAAGCACAATCGAGATGTTGATAACATGCTACCGACTAGGAGCGTAAAGTTCACACCAACGAAGACCTAGAGCCAGATGCTATCGAATTCTCTGAGACTACACCCATGCACAGCAATATCAGATGTGCTAGGTACTCCTGATCCTCCAGAACACCGTAACAGCAGCTACAGCCCGCACGAGCTCAAACGACTACACAGCACATGACTCTAGGCGCAAAGATGACATGACTCACAGACATAACATCTTCTACAAGGGACACGTATAGCTTCGGGCAACACAAGCGCCTTACCCAAGCTACAACGTCATCAATGATGCACCACACGTTCTCAGCAAGGGTTTCCATCCTGACAGTCGTCATAAGATCGCATCTCTAAGCAGACACCGAACCACGATGCAGCATACAACGCAGTCAGCATCTACACAACGGACAGGCTGATCGCGCGCTTCATTTATCACCGAGTCTAACTAACTCACTACTCGCTCTATGAACCAAAGACATATGCGCGCGGCGCACTAGACCAACAACAGACATACACGTCTAGTGACTGCCGCTATGCGGTTTACGCCGAATCGCATTCGTGGCACATGCACAGCACATAAAGCTCTTAATATAACTAACACACACACCAAACATAGGATTCCACAACACACACTCAACGAGGGCATATGGCAGGACATACGGAGAAAAAAAAAGCAACAAAAAAGCGATTACAACGGCCTGGGTGTCGTCTCTGCACTCTTCCGGTAACCGATAATGCCGCAAAAAAAAACACCATATCTAATAGTGCTGCGACCCGAACGGAATTCCGCACTGCTCTTTATCCGCAACCTTAGGTCTTCTCCAAACAACGTGAACAATCACAACATCTGGAGGGCGTGAAGAGTTATTGTGCGAAGCATGATTCGGTCAGACTCTCTCATGGCTCCACATCTGCAATTCAACAAAGTCATTGATCTCATGCACCACGTTTGCACTACAATTGCGATCTCAGCAGAGCGGAGAGCGTGGTAGCTCAACATAGCACGCTATATGAGCCCTCTTAGTACAGGTGGGCAACCTCACATACGGCTCCTTATAGCATCACAGCAGAGGCTCACTTGAAAAAAGTGGACACGGGAGCTCTCCACATTTCTCACAGGGCTGCGAGTTTCTGCTACCAGTGATTGTCAAGCACGCAGTGCATGTCAATCGACACAACTCTGTGTAGCTCACGTTCATATTTATCTAACTCATTTCGCTGAGATCACCTGAACAGGGCAGACTGTCGGACACGCATGTACTAGCACTTTCCTCTCGGCACTCCAATCGAGCAGATAGTCTGCGTCCCCAGCCCTTCACACAGCACAGTTCGAGCATGGCACAGTTCTCTCAAGGCCGTTATCCTGCTCATGGACTTACGCCATACCAGCTGAGACGAATACTGTGCTTCCTTCAAGACACATGTTCCAATGTTAGAGTGCGACAAGTCGAGTCAGCTGAACCGCGAACTTGTATCCGCGAGAGAGTCAATACGAAGAGTCATTGGTGAGTTCAGCGGAAGCGCGTTCCTCGGCATGTAAGACGATGGCCTAGGCACAAACGCATATGGGTCGGCGGAGATAAGGGGTCGTTCACGTGGGAAGTGTTAACTACCACGCAGGTACATGGTCATTGGTCTAATCTTAGCTGAATCTCTCTCCCGCAGGTCGTCGCGCTGTATTCCAGATCTAGCACGCCGCCTTCACGCAGAGAGCGCACACAAAGACAATTCCTTCTCTGTCGGGACGCTGTCGCTCTGTCGCGTCGTAACATGCTCACATCTGCATTTTCTCTCTAGACTACTAATCATCCGTGCGACACGAGCTATGCTTGTGTCTAGAAATGCTCGACCGCGTCCGAAGTTTTCTCTGCGAAACTGACTCTATGTCGAAGCCCGTCAAGTCATCTGCGGGAAATCTGCCACCCCTATCAATATCTAAACACTCTCGCCCAAATCAGCTGCGGATTGCTTCTCGGCGCACACTGTATGTGCGCAGCACCGTATCTGTCTGCTCTCGTCATTGTTGCTCTCGACAAAAACCATATACTGCAGCCGACCTGCTTCATTACGCATGTTAGTTGTCAGCTCGCAAACCGAATGGCATGCGGCGCAGCCATGTCTACGTCAAGCGTCTTGACAGGGGGGGTGGGGGGCTTGTGTTTTTGCGCTGCGATCGCGCATGGTGCGTGCCGACAGGTCGAGCTCGTCTGTGGCTACACTGCATGCTGCCACATATGTCGGACCCACAGCCCAGTCGCCAGGCAGTGCCTTGTGGCTCCAATGCAGCGCTCTCTACTCCAGCTCAGCTACTGTTTTTTTCGGCGTGCTAGCCGCCATCCGCCTACGTCAACAGACCCTAGAGGGCGAGAATAGTTTCGAAACACATTATAAGTAGAGGGGAGTTGGTTTAAGGGACATCATATTGGGTAATATAGGGAAGGGGGGGGGGGGGGGGGGGGGGGGGGGGGGGGGGGGGGGAGGCTAGATATCCAGAATGTTGGTTTGAGAGCGACTAAGTAATATTTTACGCCACGATATCACGCAGGTACTTGGGAGTGCACGACTCTCACATTGACTTAGTGACTCAACAGAATACCAATCAGTACAGCCATTTCGAGCTCTCACGCGAAGCATCTCAATTTCATGATCCGATGGTCTATGTCGCCACTCACTCCAGCACACTAATCCAGCTACACGGTCGAACACGATAGCGATCTGTAGCAGCAGTTCACAGCATCAGACTACGACAGGGCGTAGTTCAGAGACGATCGTTTATTAGCCGATTGCTAACTGACCTTACGACACAATGGGGGCACAGTGAGGTGGTCCCTCGCACAGACAGCGTTTATACTCGCACTCATCTATACATCGATTCGAACATTACAGTTTTGCATCCGCACGCAGGCGCACGCGGGCTATGCTGTGTGGGGTTTTGGGCGGGGGGGGGGGGGGGGGGGGGGGGGGGGGGGGGGAGGGGGGGGAACACACGCCTCGTAACGACAACACCGAGGTTATAGACTGTGATGATCCTGCGTACCCACGACAGCACACAGCATCCAGTACTGGTATGTATCTGCCGGCAGACGCAGTCCTACGTGTACCTTGTGCAGCAGATCCATCGAGGCCTTCCTCCTCCCGCAGTCTCTGTCGACGAGCCATGTCCGTCCTTCCCGCTTCTCCTCGCACTACTGCGCATCTGAATCCGGCTCTCCGGTACTGCATCGTCGATTTTCGGAGAGCTCGGCTCCCACGCTGATGCTTCTGTCTTCGTCTGGGGACATGCTCTGCGTCAACTCGGTGCTTCTATGTCAGGCCTGTGCTCGGTCCTGTGTGGCACGACGCGCCTAGCGCGGCGCGTCATAGTCTCGTCTGACTTGTTAGTGTGCGTGCCGCTGTCCACGCGGCGAAATTATTCCTCGGCTCCGATACGTATCCTGGTGATGGCCTGCGAGCAGCGTCTCACAGCTAGCACTGTTCCTTGCTTCGCGGCGTAATCTCTCCGGCCGCTCAGTGCATCGATGCTCTCAGCCTCCCCGAAGTCTTAGTCTCGCCGCAGAGCACGCCATTTCCTTCGAGAGCGGCTAGCTCCCGAAGCAGCATACTCACCCAGCACCCGCAGCCCATCCTTCTAGGCGAAGGCGGACCGTTCTGCTCTCGTACTACCATCGTCAGCTGCATCGTCCCCGCAGGAGACGCAGCTTGCCATCTCTTCCTCCCTCTCGTCATACCACCATCTCGTGTCCTCGATTCCTCAGGACTCAGCAGGGCAGGGGTGGTGCGACAGTTCCATTCAAGACTCACAGATTCGCCCTATCACTTCTCTGGTCGATACAGAATGTCTAGATTGAGGGGAGAAGACCTTTTGTGCCCAGCAGTTCTCTGAAGCTTCGCGTCTGAATCCTGATGGTAGGGGCCCCTGGCCTCCAGTCATTTTATCTCCTCCGTGCCGCAATCGTTGGTTCCGTAACTGTGACGCGCCGCTTGCTCCACATCCGTCATGAACCTGGCCGTCATCGTTTGTTAGCACGATAAACTTGATTGCCGCAGCCTCATGCCTGGCGAATCGCTAAGATATATGTTCCCCGCTTATCTCGTATTGTATGAGCCTCATTGCCTTTGTTCTGTTTTGTATTCCGCTCTTGAGTCGAGCTTTGGTTTACCGAGACTTCGCTTATCTATGTTCTTCCGCGTCGCTATGTTCGACGCTTCTTGAAGTGCATTCGCCTTACTAGAGCTGGTATCGTTCACCTCGCAGCATTCCTCTTGACTGCACGTTCGAGTCTAGGATAGTTTCAAGTCACAGCGTGCACATCCGTCTTTCTCGTTGCGCGGTAACGGAGTCAAGTATTCCGAAGTTGTGGCGCAGATCCGTTGGTGGATTGACTCTGTCACTGCACCACTGCAGTGTCCGATACTATTCGAATCGCGGCGAGAGCCCTATGCAGCTTGCGTGCATTGATATGCATGCGATCGCATCCTCTCCCGATAGCTCGCCTCACAATCCACAGATTTATATCATGACGTCCCGTCTATTACATGCGTCTGCTTTCGCACGCACAACACCAGCCTCTCGTGCATGGCCGTTTATGGTCCACTGGGGGTGGTACGCGTTGAAGTTCGCCGTCTCTGGATTGCCACCCACATTGTTCCAACACTGACTTAAAACAGCTCTTGACCTCGAAGCAGGCCCTAGTCTGTCCGCTACTAATAGACCTAACTAGTCCTGTGTGGATTGCAACCATACCGTTGCTACGGGTGCCACACATGATGCAAATCGCTATACGTGTGCGACTCAACAACTGTCTCGCGGCTCGGTGTTGGTTGCGGCTCCTGGTGATCTGTATTCACGTGGCGAGTTCATCTGGTAGTATCCTTTCCCACCCGCCACTCAGTCCACGTGAAGCACTAGTACGTGATCAAACAAGCACTATCCATGACTCGCAAGCACTAGATTGTATAGCTGCTTCTTGTCCCTCCCCGATGTTCACGACATATTCACTGTTGTATCGCCGAGCTCCAAACACATCTGCAGACGTCACCAGAACGATTGCACATTCGAAAATACTTGCGACAACTGTCCCCCTGTTTTGTGTCTCCTTCCGAACACTGTAGATTGTAGAGCATCAGGCTATCCAACCCATCCATGCGAGTCTGCGCTCAAGATGCGATCTACGAGCCATGCGCCTCACTGACGATCTTATCCGATTCCTGTTCCCGAACATCACGTATGGTAACTTGTGGCAGTTCTCAGCGAGCGCGAGCGCGGTCCGGGCAAGTACCCAACACGGAAGTGGCTCACCAACCTCCCATTTCGATTGCATCGGCGGTCTCCGGGTGACGGTCCTAATCTCGTCCGCGACGTCGACGGTGCCAGTTCGGCCTCACATCCCGATGGTGCGTGAGTCCTAACTACTGCCGACGCACTCCCTCCCGCGCAGGGCAATATCATGTGCCGGGGGGGGCGAAGGGGGGGGGTGGGGGGGGGGTGGGCATTTCCCTGGGGGGTGCCTCAGTTTGGTTTTGGTTGCCCAGAAAAAAACGACCTATCGGGCTGCCCCGTAACCACAAAACACAAATAACACAACTCTCACTCACACTCGCCTTCCGCCGCCCCATTCACAGACTGTGGCGCTCTGCCTTGTATTATTATACCTGCAAGCAATAATTCACTAGCCACATACACTGGGCCGCCCGCTCCGTCCCGCACGTCATCCTCACCCATGGGGCGCCATCATGAGTTATGCGCATCACACGTTCTCGCTGATTTGGTGGAACAAAAGGCACTTTCCGTCCGTCTATCGCCACCACCACGTTATCGTTTTCGACCTTCAACCTGTCCCAGATCTTGAGGAGTTCCTCCACCTCCTCCGATGTAGCCTCCGGTTTGGTGCCAGCCCGTAAGTGAGAGCACAACACATTCATGAATTCATCTGTCCTTTGATCTCCCAGCAGGTTCCTCTCTCCCATCGCGAACGCACGCACCGGTATAGCATGGTCTGGCATGATGTCGTCCAAACACGGGCGTGACAACATATCTGGCAATACATTCTGCGTACCATCCACGTGCTCAATGGTGAAGTTGAATTCCTGCAATCGGTAGGCCCATCGCGCAAGCCGTCCCCGCGGGTCTTTCGCCGTCATCAACCACGAGAGCGGTTTGTGGTCAGTGACGACCCGGAATTCATTCGCCAGTAAGTAATTTCTCCACTTCTCTAACGCCCACACGATGGCCAAGCATTCTTTCTCCGTTGTTGAATACTTCTGCTCCGCCCCCGTCAGCACTCTGCTCGCGTACTCCACCACCCCAGCCGGTTGAGACAAAACCGCACCGATTGCCACGTTGCTTGCGTCGACCGCCACAGTGAACCTCTCACCAGGATTGGGTAGCCGTAGACATGTCGGGGCTTCTGCTATGCATGCCTTTAGCTGGTCAAAGGCTTGATCCGCTTCAGCTGTCCACACGAACGGCACGTCCTTGCGAAGCAGCTTTAACAACGGGCTGACCTTCTCTGCGAACTGGGGCACAAACTTTGAATCATATGCCACCACACCCAAGAACGAACGGAGCTGACGCTTGGATTTTGGTTTTGTGAAGCACTTGATAGTCTCGCGTTTCTCCGGAAGTGGATGGACTTGACCATTGCCCACGATGTGACCCAAGCATACAATTGACTTTTGGCCAATCTGCGACTTTTTACGACTGAGTTTCAGACCAGCTTCATCCAGTCTCTGCAGTACTGCTCCAAGTCTGGTCACATGTTCCTGTTCCGTCTCAGAGAAGACGATGATGTCATCACCGTACACAACCACGCCTTGCAGGTTCGCGAGGACCATCAGCAACAAACGCCTGAATGTAGCCGGGGCGTTGCACAATCCAAACGGCATTCTCAAAAACTCATACTGCTGGCCATTGACACTGAAAGCCGTCTTGTGGCGATCTTCTTCTGCGATCGGCAGTTGCCAATATCCCGAGCGGAGATCAATCAGAGATATCTGCTTCGCACTGTGAAGGCTTGAGAAAATTTCTTCCATCTGAGGCATCGGGAATGCATCCTTCACCGTCACCCTGTTTAGTTCTCTGAAATCGATGCAAAATCGATAGGTTCCGTCGGCCTTCTTCGTCAATAGCACGGGTGATGAATACGGGCAGGTGAGCGTGACCACTCCGTGGGTGCGTCCAAGTTGCTATATCACTCGCACTCACTGCAAACCGAGTGTTCGTGATCGTCAGGCCGTGAGTGGCACACAGTGAGAGCAGCCTGTCACCGTTCGCATTCGCTGAACCAATGCTATGCGCACCGATAACATCTCTCCACGCTGATGCATCACGCCCAACGCGCGCGTTGAAATCACCCAGCAGAAATAGTCGGTCGCTCCTCGGCACAGACCGTATCACGGAGGATAACTCAGTGTAGAATTGATCAAGCGTGTCATCAGGATAACACATGGTCGGACAGTACGTGCTTATAAAAGTAGCAAACTTACCTCTTCCGAGTCGTAGGCGAACAGTCATCAGTCGCGCGCTGATGCCCGTTGGTTCACCCACCAGCTGGCCATTCAGGCGATCGGATATTGCAAATCCGACCCCATATATATATATATATATATATATATATATATATATATATATATATATATATTATGCATAGGGCAGTGAGCTTATGTTGTTCTGAGGCTTGTGGTGGCTAGTTCCTAAAATTCGTCCTACCGACTGTTGCTAAGGCTGTGCGATGTGCTCATATCTTGGACGTCCTCACGTGGCGACCGATGGGTGTGATTTGGCTTACGCCCCTCTCCTAGCTACGTGCCGGGACACCAATCCGCATGAGGTGAACTGACCTTGTGCTAGACCCGCTGCCTTTCGGGTGTGCACTTTATCGAAGGCTTTGTCTGAGGACTAGACTCGTCCTCCTCTCAGTTGTGGGCGCCCTGCCAGTATCCTAGTTCATCCTCTTCGGAGATTAGGAAGAGTTCCACAACCCTCTTCCCTTAAAACCTAGCCTTGGGCGAAAACAGATCATCATCATCATTATCATTATACACGTCAACTAGAGGTGGGAAAAGCCTCAGCTACTGTGCCGCAAGGAGATAACAGGTACACAGCATATTAGCTAGCAGCTTTAAGGGCGTTTAGCACGAGAAACACGCAGTCTCTGACGGTAAGAGGGCAAGTCCGGATTTTCTACTGCCCGCCTCAAGCCAGGCAGACCCTGGTCAAATTGGTGCAAACCAACCAAAACCCACCGGTCATGGTCG